TTATGGTGCTAAGTGACTATAAGAGTTATGTGTTATTGAGTATGTCCACCCAGTAGTGGTGTGAGTGTTATTGAGTATGTCCACTCGGTAGTGGTGTGAGTATGTTGAGCCTGAGGGCATAGTACCAGATTTCGTCTGTTGGTACATATATATTCTTTCTCCTACCTCCATATTAATGTTTAAATAAATTTTGTATTTGTATATTGTGTCTATTATTTACCTACAGTATTTACCGTTATTTCTTCCCTATTACTTGATATTATCATTACATATACCCACGAGCCTCCTCTCGTCACGCTACCAATGGTAATAAGTATGAGAGTAAAAGGAATTGTTACTGACACACAGGCCCTTATAAAATGGTGGCAGCCCAGGCCCTCATACTCAGTACAGTAAAGCCTCCGATAACAACGCTTCGACAACAACTTTTCAAATTTAAAACCCTAGTTAATTTAGGACTCAATTCAATTTATGTCCTTATTTCATTCGTATTTACAACCAAAATATAATAAAAATATAATAAAATTACATTTTCATATAAATAATAACTAAATCCCAATATGTATTATAAAAAAAATCAAGTTTCTTACAGCATTTATGCATCCCTATTCAACATGAGCAAGAGAGCAAGTGATGGTAGTGCTGTTCAAAAGCTAATAGAAAGTGTATAAGCTTAGCCGAGAAACTAGATGTGTTAAAACAATATGAAAAAGGCGAGAGGTCTGTGGATATTATATGGAGCAAGCAATGAACATATTTTCTGAAGTGGATCCATTAACAGAACAAAGCATTAAAATTTAAACAAATACAAATGACTTCAACATAAAGATGTGTAATGAGAAAAGAAAGCAGCTGTGCAAGGTTCTTTCGACAGCTTTATTATTCGAAGGACTAAACCACCAACTTCAGCTACACCATCAAATTCATCATCATATGCAGCTTCAACATCAACTTCAGGTTCAGTAACAGTTTCAGCAACAGCTTTATGGAAAGCTACAGCTTCAGCCAGAGTTGAATTCTTATAATTTGGTGATCATTTTGAATATAAACATCATATATTTTGCATTAAACATACAAATTTTAGATAAAAATTTTTCTCAGAGTAACTATGTTATCTTTTGTGCAAAATATATGACATTTATATTCAAAATATTCCTGGTCTTACAAGGAATCCAGCAATGTCAATTGTATTATCCTAACTTTAGTTTGAGGTATTATTTATTAAAATTTAGTGGTTTTCCCCCAAAAATTTCTCTGAGAGGGAAGAGCCGGCAGTGTAGTGTGAGAGAGGGAGTTGAGTCCATTATTTGAATGGACATTAACTTGGCGACTGTATTTCTCTATTTCTCTTAAGTATTAATTGTGTGCATGTACCATCATAAAATTAAGATGTTATTTTTACTACAACATAGGTATGTGCCTTCAAAAAGTGGAGTTTGGGGGTCGGGCCGGTTTCTATTGGAATTAATCCCATATGTTCTGTTGTTCTTAAGATTTCACTTGCGGGACCCTCTGGGTTCTATATATATATATATATATATATATATATATATATATATATATATATATATATATATATATATATATATATATATATATATATATATATATATATATATATATATATATAATCCATCTTTTTTTTTCTTTGCCATTAGTGGTTAGCTACTTCTATTGTTCCATTTATTAACATTAAATAACATAATTTAAAACATATATGTATATTCATTTTTTACATTAATTTTACTACAGCTACAACCAGGGTCTTATTTTCTTCATTTTCTCGTGTAGATTATCGTCATGGACTCCCGGATGTAAACACAAATGAAAACAATGGCGTCCCATCTCCTCTTGTGTGACCATATTATTATTCATTTATATTGTATAAGGTACATCCAAAAACATTATTTAAAGAATAAAGTTTGCAATTTTCATTAATTGTAATGTTTTTGGGGGGAAAGAGGGTAAAAAGCCACACAAAAGATATAAAAAGGTCACACCTGGGAACGCATCTCATTATTATTGCTTTATTTTAATGGTAATTAATGATTCACGATATGATGATTCACCTTACACTGCAATATTGGAGGACACATTACCGTCGTTATTCGAGGCTTTACTGTATATACATACATACAATGGTCCCTCGGTTAACGAACCCAATTCATTCCACAGTCGTTCGTTAACCGAAAATTTTGTTAACCGAATCCTTTGTTTCAATGGGATATTGGGTAATTTGTTCCAGTTCACAGAAAAGTATATACAAAGTTAAAAAAAAATGCAGTAAAGTACACTTACTTTGAGGTGTGTATGTAGAAGGTTCCTGGTTGATGATGATGATGGGAATTAGAAGTGGGGGTGGAGGAGAAGGGAGAAGAGAAGGAAGTGGGAATGGAGGAGAAATTACCTTTCAGGGGACCCATGCTTGATGCAGTAATTTCACCAATAAAATTTTAAGTTCATTAAGTGTAATTCAAGATTATTTTATTTAAATCAACACTGCACTGTGCTCTATATTATCAATATGTTAACTAAATTTCAGAATGACCAATAATTTTAATGTAAAAATGCAAAAATATTCAAGACACCAACAAAATCGATGTTCACTCCACTGTCAACAAAGCCAAACTGAAGCCTGGTGGCTGAGTCAAGCGGCTGATGGTCGCACAAAAAACTAGTTCCCTGTACTGCATATATTATCAATATGTTAACAAAATTTTAAAATGACTAATAATTTTAATATAAAATGCAAAAATATTAAAGAGCACAACTTTCTTGATATTTACGTCACTGGAAACGAATGTAAACATAGAACAGATTACTGAATTGGCAGACTAGCCCATCAGCTGATCAGCTGATGCTCACAACAAAACGTGATTTTCATAAGGATTTCGTTAATCGAAGTTTTGTTCGATAACCGAATTGAAGATCCTTATGGGAGGTAATTCGTTAACCAAAATTTCGTTAATCGAACCGTTCGTTAACCGAGGAACCACAGTATATATACACACAGTAAAGCCTCCGATAACGACGGTTCAACTAACGAAGATTCATATCTAAAACCCTGGTTAATTTAGGACCAAATTCAATTTACACCATTATTTTTCTTTGTATTTACGGCGAAATTAAAAAAGATATTACATTTTCGTATAAATAATAACTAAATCCCGATATTATAAAAAAAACACGCCGTACCCACGGAGGCTGCCGGGCTTGTTAGTGGTGACGTCAGCATCACTAGTACGTATAAACAATCGCAACTGGCGGGCCCTTTGCTTTCATGCATCCGAACAGGAAAAGGAGAAAAACTATCTCAGGTTTCTTACAGCATTTTGTATCCCTATTCAACATGTGCAAGAGAGCAAGTGATGGTAATGTTGTTTCAAAAGTTAATAGAAAGTGTATAAGCTTAGCCGAGAAACTAGATGTGTTAAAACGATATGAAAAAGGCGAGAGGTCTGTGGATATTATATGGAGCAAGCAATGAACATATTTTCTGAAGTGGATCCATTTACAGAACAAAGCATTAAAATTTAAATAAACACAAATGACCTCTACATAAAGATGTGTAATGAGAAAAGAAAACAGCTGTGCAAGGTTGTTTCAACAGCTTTATTATTTGAAGGCTTAAACCATCAACTTCAGCTACACCATCAAACTCAGCATCATAAGCAGCTTCAACAACAACTTCAGGTTCAGTAACAGTTTCAGCAACAGCTTTATGGAAAGCTACAGCTTCAGCTAGAGTTGAACCTGATGACTTCATCATCTGAGTAAAAACTCTCCCAATATCATTAGCTGTTCTTATGTTTTAGACTTTACCACATATATGAACAATAAATAAGTGCTGCTTTCATATTCGTATGTAGAAAAATGATATGTTTTCACATGTACGCACTTACTGTACATACGTTGGCGTTCCCAATCGTCTCGCTAATTTCTTAACCATTACTGGTTAGCTACTTCTGTGCCGACATTGTGAGAATGATTTTTTGTATCAATTGCAGTTACACCAGGAAAATAGTGAGGTAATTTTTATTTTTTATTTTCTTAGAAAACACGCTGTATTGCCAGATGTAGTTCTTTGTCCAAAGTGTAATAACCAGTGTACACTGCATGAAGAACAGTATATTTGACAGTGTCACAAAAGTTTTAAAGATTAAGGTAAGATGTGGGCATGAAGAACAGGGGATTGGGTTGGGTTAGGTTAGGTTAGTATTTTATTTATCTGATTAATTTGAAAAAGAAAACAATCCAATTTTTTCCATTATGATTGTTGGGGGTATCTTTAAAAAAAAAAAGTGATTCTGGAGGAAATGGATATCCACTTCGCTAAAAACTTATCAAAAACCACTGGAAAAACCAATTTTTAATTTAAAAATTAAGTCCAGTGTGATACTATATTTTGACCGTTTCTTTTAATACGCTTAAAATCATCAAAACAATAAGTATAGAAAAAATTAAGAAAATCAACAAATTCCTTCTGGTGTAAGCCCTAAACTACACCTTTACTGCAGTTTCTGTTACAAATGAAAATGTTTTTGTTTTGTTTTTAAGCCGCCAATTTCCATCAGAAATGAAGGTCAAATTGGAGTAAATGACAACATAAAACACAAAAAACTATTTTTCTCTAAAAACCTGAGAATAGCCAATGGACGAATATTTACCTAAAGTACTTAGCTAATCAGGGCGCACTCACGGTAAAATAGCGTTCATAAGAAGTTAGCCGGTCACAGCAAAATAACCACTACAAAATGTAAAACTAACAAGTAGGGCGCACTCTCGGTAAAATAGCGTTCGTAAGAAGTTAGCCGGTCACGGCAAAATAACCACTACAAAATGTAAAAGTAACAAGTTAGACGGATTACCATCTCAAATCCCAATGTGTCATGTCTTATGTTCTTAATTTGTATATGTTCAGCTAATAATATTTTTAAAATTCTAATTCTGAATAATCTATTACAATGAGAGTAATTCTAGAATGCGATAACAAAGCTTACTTGTGATAATTGCTGGTTGACATTCCTATGTGGTCGACACTCGACAGCCGGACTGTATCTGTTTGCGTCGCTCTGTTAAAGAAAGCTACGAATTCGGAGGCTCGGAGCCCCACAGGGACACCACTGACACAGGCAGGGCCCGGCCAGGGCCCCAAGCCCCAACCAGCCTCTGCTAAGTAGGTACTAACATAAAGAATAAATCAATTGACCCAAGCAAGATTATTTCCATTTAAACTCAAAAATTTTCGTCTATGTATCTTTCTATCTCATATATGGAACTTGCCAGCCTAAAATTGTGTTCATTATATTGAAATACGGGAGAAATATTTTGGTTATTTTTTTACGGATGGATAATTAATTGGATAATCCAAGTAATTTTGAGTTTGTAATGAATCCAACTTGGATTCATTACAAACTCAAAATGAGATTTACTTTGCCCTCTTCTCCACTGATCGGCCTATTAGGCGCTTGATAATTAAATCCTTGATGCCTATTATTAAAATTTGGGTGGCTAGGAGAAAACTCATGCTGAATGACGGCAAAACCAAGATTATCATAATTCAAGGATGTAGGAAGGGAAACGACACAGATGATTTTGGGTCTTTAAACTTTGGGAAGTACAAGTCAGTCGTGTTGATTCTGTTCGTAATGCCAAGTTATTTAAGGAAACTAAGAACAAAACAGACTGTGAAGAACTACAGAAATATCTCAATGGGCATCAAGAATGGTCGAAGAAATGGCTGCTAAGTTTCAAGTTTAGCTTTTTTAGTTTCACAAATATATTGACAATGCTTGGAGTACAGTACAGTTTGCCTATTTTGAGTAATTCAGTCAGGTCTTGACACTGAGGCCCCTGAGGGTGGTATTGTGGGGTATGGGATGTTTGGTGTTCACTCAGGATGGGTTGGAGAAAGGAAACTCACAATGTGCTCTCTATATACATGTTGTATTGGATGTACAATGCAGCTTGGTGCTGGGAAGGCAGCATGGTTACAAGCGTGATGTAGAGAGAGCTGATTGGTGAGGATGCTCAGAGGAGGACCAGCTTGTGGGTCGCCATGCTCTCCGGGGGGAGCGAGGACCGCCAGGCAGGCGGAGGAGGTGTTGCTGGCTGGTTGGTGTAGGTAACACTGTGGAATTCGTGGGGTCGGCTACGCAGCGACAAACAGCGTTTGTCGGGGAGAAAATCCACTACCAGCCTCCCTCCTTCCTCTCCAGACGGTCATAGGAGCTTGTTGTCTACGGGTTACGCCGCTTTATAATATGAAGAGGCCGAACAGACTTGGTGCGCTGCCTCATGTGGTTTTAACGGCAGATGGGTGTGGACTAGAACTGATCGCTCGAGACAACTGTCTGGAATATAATATCTGTGGGGTAGAGGAGAAAAGGGTGTGTGGAGGCGATGAATGTTGTGCTTCCTCACGGCCGTTGCAGGAGGTCGTCAGATGCGCCTGGGGTGTGTGGACCTGGATCCAGGAGCAGGGGACTGCGTCAGCTTAGCGGATGAGGGCTCGTGACAGCAGCTGGGTCCTGACAGCAGCTGGGGTGCAAGTTAGCAGGGTACCTGAGGGAGAAAAGAGGGGTGTGTGGGTCCGCACTCAGGGAGCAGGGGGCCGCATCAGGGGCGGCAGGGGTTTACTGCTGGGCTGGGGAGGCAGCAATCTGAACTGGGACAGATAGCCTTTCTGAGGTCTGGGAAGAGGACCTTTGATAGTGCTTAGGGGCAGGAAGAAGGGAGCTGGTTTCTGGCAGAAAATGGTGTTGCTCCATGGTGTCCCCGCCTGCGGTGTAGAGACAGTAGCTGTAGAGCTGATGAGAATGCTTCTGGGTGGATAAGCCAGTCTTCCATGACATGAAGACTGAGGCGTGATCTGTTTCTCCTCCACCCTGTGTGGTGCAGATCTCCAGGGGGTCGCCCTTTGGCTGGGATTATGGATGGTTTGGTTTCACACTCAGGATGGGTTGGAGAAAGGAAACTCACGATGTGCTCTCTGTATACATGTTATTGGATGTACAAATGCGAAGCTTAGTGCTGGAAGTAGCATGGTTACAAGCGTGATCACCAAGAGACAGCTGGTTGGTGAGGATGCTCGAGAGGAGGACCAGCTTGTGGTCGCCCATGCTCGCCGGCGGGGAGCGAGGACCGCCAGGCGAGCGGAGGAAGGAGGAGGTGTTGCTGGCTGGTTGGTGTAGGTAGAAAGAGA